GCTTTATTATAGTCCTAAGATTGGCAGTTGGAAAGAAGCAGCACCGGTAAAAACAAGTTTTTGAGACCAGAGGCCAGCCCTTTGAGGTAGACCAGGTCAAGAAAGAGACCCCACAAGGATTACAGGAATGCAACTGTAGTGTTGTATGGTATAATATCAGAATCTTGAAAGCCTGCCCGCATTTCTCCCTCTGATCCTACCCAAACTCCTCTTTTGACTCACTGGGGAAGCCTTTGACCCTCCGGGGCTACCACCGATTTCCAGAGTTTCTACCTGGCACTGAACTTTCCAGGAGGAAGCTCAAGGTTGTAAGGACCGAGGCGATGCTCTTGCCCCATCCTCCCATTCCCTGGACGAAGAGAGAAAAGGAAAAGGTCTCCCGCAAGGCAGTGGCTGGCTGTGCAGCTGGAGAGAGTGGTTTCTGGGGTCATGGGCGGAGGGGTCTAAACTCAGTTACTGGAGTTACACATGGTAGGGATAGATAAAAGCGAGGAAAGCTGGATTAGCAGGGCTTTCAGCTGAACCCTGTGCGGTTTGGAAGCGAAAATCCTGGAGTACAGAGGTAGATGAAAACTACTGCGCTGTGGAAAATGGGAGTCTTGCTGAAATGGGGCCTCAGAGAAAAATCAGAAGGAAGGTTACCTTGCCCTATTCGTGGCATCCTTGGCCCATGTGCTGATGCTTGGAGTGTGGGAAATCGAGACAAGCTTCAGTTCTCAGCACAGAAAGGCAGATAGGATTTAACAAATGTGACAGGAACCTGGCAGGATAACTTCAGTGACTGGACATACCAGTTAAAGAATACAGTGTGCTCAAAGGGAGCAGGAGCAACGGAAGGGAGGAGGAGTTGGACCGCAGGTGAAAAATACCCTCTTCTGAAATTCAAATGAGCAAACTTGGCAGCGCCTTAGGGAGCGTGGCATAAAGTAACGGGTAAAAGCCACACTTTCCAGGATCTACCGTCTGTGTCAGAACCGATGGGGAGATGTGGACGATGCCTTCCAAGATTCTGCTAAAGAGGGCAGCTCTTTCAAAGATGGAGAAGTCATCGTGATGGGAGACAAGCTGCCAAGCACCATCTTTTTGATGCCTTTCTTGACTAGCCCGTAACTTTCTGCTAAAGAGGGTAGCGAAGGCACAAGAAGGCCAGTTATTCTTGGCTCGATACTGATCTGTGGGGGGGACTTGGGGCTGATCCCCACTGCTGGGCTGATCTTTGAGTCAGGTCGTCCATCCCCATCCAATCTGCTGTCCTTGTTGCCAGCTCCTATCCTGTGCCCGCGGTCACTTTTGGGTTAGCACCCAGTGGTGGCGCCCTGTTTTCAGGGGTGCAGCGCATGTCGCACAGCCATTGGTTGGGCTTTGCCGCCCTCCCCGTTCAGAAGGCCAGGCGCTTCTGCCAAACACCGGCGTGATGCACGTAGGTTTTATTGAGGTACCGTATAGACGCAGCATATTTAAAAATGACCCTCACGGTCGTTCTCAAGCCCGTGAAAGAAGGGGGGGTCAGCAGTGCCTCTGCTACGTGAGCCGTAAGGCCTTCTGCGCACTCTCCCTTCACTGCCCAGTCGAAGGCAGCTGAAGGACGAGCAGGTGTGGACTAAGTGAAAGCAGGGGGTTCAGGCCCGTCTCTCTGAACCGGTGCCCTGCATGTTCTGTTTCCTTTTTCTTTCTTCATAACTTTGTTTAGAAGTCATGGCTTTCTTTATTGTATCCAGTTAATGAAAGAAAAAAGACTAAAAGGAAGCAGAGCGGACCCTTTCGTTTTCTACTCCCCGCGGACTCCGTGTCAGGTGCAGCCGAGGCAAAGCGCTGGTCCCAGCCCTTTCTGAAGGGATCGGGGCTCTTGCCACGCTCTGCCATGGCAGGCCTTGACTTTGGGAGGGCGCAGCGCTGCTCCTCCGGCCCCCTCCCTCCCCGATTGCCTGCCAGCTCCTAATGATCCTGGACTCAGAACTCAGGCAGGCCTTGCTGGGCTCCAGGCAGCCCAGGGACTTGAGGCCTCCCTTCCAGTTGCCCCCCAGGCCAAAGGGAGGCTCACCCGGGGCCATTCCTGTCTCCTGAGGGCGGCCGGGGGGAGGGGGCTTCAGGGGCTCGATGTGTAGTTGGCAAGTCTGGAGGAATCCCACTGTGCCGAATGAGGAGGTGCCTGTCCACAGGGACGCAAAAGCCTCGCGGAGATCTTGGCGGGGTGTGGGAATCTGTGGCCTTGCAGGGATTCATTTTGCAGGACACGAGTCTGCCCAAGCTCAGAACTTGGACTTGCTGCACTGGATTAAAGCAGGAGTGTTTAATAAGGACACTTTTTTTTCTTGAAAAACATTAAACATTTATTTTGCCTTCATTGAGAAACAGAATTGAGGGGCAGAATAATAAACATCATAAATACTCATAAATACGTCTGCAATATGTAAATAATTCAAATAAATAAATAAATATGGCAATAGAAAAATACATATATTGTATTCTCATGATCTGGTGCTTCCCAGGATGCGCTTGCGAACAACTCCCTCCAAAGCACCCTCATTTTTGTTGCGCACATGCATCCCAAATGGGACCTGCAAGAAAACATTATTACAGTGTTCTGTGTTCCGTGTTCAGCATCAAGTCCCTCTGTTCCCCTCTCAAGTCCTTCTCCCTATTTAATCTCAACTGACTTTTGGGCAGAGGTGTTTTCATCATTTTTTTCCCTGTAAGGTTG